AAAGTTATTCCCATCAAATATATTCCTTGGAAACATTTTCCCGAAGATTTAATTGACGGGAAAGTACCAAACACCCTCTTACATCAAAATGTAAAAGTATTACATTTTCCTTCAAAAGTATTGTATTTTCTATTATAAGTAACAAACACTTTATTCTTAATTAGTATAATTAGTATTACATTTGATAGTACATGTATTACATTTGCATATTGACCCTACCCAACTCCACACGCAAATTATGCTGTGCAACCGAATGTACCTTGCAAGGTGCATACGGTTGCAAAACGGCGCCGTTTTGATTAAAAAAAAACGCGCGTCCCACTTAAAGAAGAAATCATGTTCGATTCCCGGCAATAGCATTTTTATATATCCAGAAATTCATAACTATATATCCACAGTGAAGCATTCAAAAAAAATATATATATCCACAGTGAATGAATGAAGTAAAAATCCACAATGAATGAATGAATGAAGTAAAAATCCACAATGAATGAATGAATGAACTAAATATCCACAATGAATGAACTAAATATCCACAATGATTGAACTAAATATCCACAATGAATGAACTAAATATCCATAAATTCATAACTATATATCCATAAATTCATAACTATATATCCACAGTGAATGAATGAAGTAAATATCTACAATGAATGAACTAAATATCCATAAATTCATAACTATATATCCACAAATTTATAACTATATATCCAGAAATTCATAACTATATATCCACAATAATGCTATTGCCGAGAATCGAACCTGAATTTTTTTTTTTTAAAGTGGAATGCGCGTTTTTAGTCAAAACGACGTCGTTTTGCGTCGTATGCACCATGCGCATGGTACATTCGGTTGCACGGCATAACTATTGAACACCACATGTCTCACGGATAAGGATTTGTGAGATGGTCTCACAAGTAATAACCCAAACATAAATGTACAGTCCAACAATCAATTTAGATTTTTTATTAAAATAAAATATATTTTTTAATTTAATATTAAAATCAATCACATGTCAAAGGTTGTGTTACCCTTGTTGTTAAAAAACTCCACCCCACATCGGGTAAAAACCCTACCCTTCTTTTTACTATTCTAAAAACCAAGCACAATCCACTTGTGTGGATGCTATTAGGGAGCTTACCTCTTTTTCTAATTTTTTTTTAACTACGGAATAAAAATGGGCAATTGGTTAAATCATTACTTGTAAAGGAAATAACCAAACCCACTTTTGTTTTTTTGGGTAATTAAAAAAAGAAGCATAGATCTAAATACAGAGTGATTTAATAATACTTATAAATACCCTGAAATCCACAGCTTAACAATCACTTTTTTTTTTTTTTTTTTTTTTTTTTTTTTTTTTTCTAACCACATGCATCCTCAACCAATAGATTAACAAGCACACAACAATACCAAAACTAATTTACAGTCAAATTAACATGAAACTTCTGCTTAAGTTAGAAGAAACATGTATATACTATGCCATCCACATCACTTGGATAACACCCACTTTTTCATGTATCATTGTTGCACCTATTATATGAAACTTATAGAATAACAAAATAGTTTTGTTACATCCTTTATAAAATGATTAATTCGTGATAAAATTAATAATTAATTCATATACGCAGTAATAATTAAGAGTTGTTATTGTAGAATGATTACATACATAATTTCAACCATTTTCACCAAACATGTTAATAGCTCCCATTCCACCTTTTCCTCTAAAGGCTATTTGGAACGTGGTTAGTTGTATCATTGCTAGCAGAACTTTGCTTCCTTCTCCATTAATCTATGCTGTATAGGAAAGCAAGAACTTTGCTTTATTTACAAATTAATTTTTTTTTTTTTGAAAAATAAAAGAAGAAGAAGGGGGGGGGGGGGGGGGGGGGGGGGAATGGGATCCTTGAAATACAAGCTAGTCTAACAGAGAAGGGGGTGAGGATGCTAATTTTTATATTTTAATTGTATTTTGTTTATGTTTGATAATCATAGAAACCCATAATTGAAAGATTTTTTTGCCTTTTAGTAGAAACATAGGCTTTTTTTTTATTATTATTTTATTTTACAATTATGATTTCTTAAAAAACTTTTAGATCGATATATATATATATATATATATATATATATATATATATATATATATATATATATATATATATAATGAATGATCCATAATAGTGATAAATAATTTTATAAATAGTTAAAATGATGAAAAATGATATTTTTTGATCAAAAATTAAATCAATTTTCAATTTTTTAAAGCTTTGGATATAGGCAACACCTTAAGTCTTTAACCTATAAGCAAGATCATTAAGCTCACCACATTTTTAAGTGAATTTTAAAACTTGAAGAAAATGGAATCAATCCATTTCTCTTATAATAAGACTTATTGTAAATAGAAATATCGAACTTTTTAAAATGTAGTGATAAATATAGTAAGAATTTTCAAATTCAATAACAATAAAAATAATAAATACATAAAATAAAATGTGAAATTAAAAAAAATTATAAATATACAAGAAAGTAAGCACAATGAACAATTTTAATATTTTTTTAACCGCAGATCCAACACAAATTAGGTGGATTGTCGTTTTAGTGGAGGAGAGTTGAGAGGAATGTTGGATAGATAAGCAGGAAAATATCAATAAAAATGTGCCAAACATGTAGTGCTCTTTTGGTCTTGTAATTGTATTATATTGATGATGGTGCTAGAAGCCTAGAATGTCACTCTAAATGCACGATAACAATCTAAATAATATTAGGGTGTTTAGTAAATATATAGTTGTTAGCTTATTGTATTAAGTAGGTTTAACTAGTTTATAGCATTAGTTGATTATAAAAAAGTGTTTGGTAAATTAGTTGTTTAGCTGATAGTTGATTACATGCAAAATGATTTTCTCGAAAAATTGATTGAAAAAGCTATTTTGAGCATCTTTTTGAATTTTAGCATTTTGGAGAAATAAATTTTTACAAAAGGTTAATTAATCAAACACTCATATTGATTGTCTAACTAAGTCAAACATACAGCTAATAGTGACCAAATAAGTCAAAATTGACTGATAGGATAACTATTAATTTTACCAAACAATGCAAGACCATTATGTAATTATTAGTTAATCATAGAGAGAGAGTGATAGAGCGAAAATTCTATTTACACCACCTATTTAGTAGGTCAAATAGCTTTATAGGTGGTGTAAATGCAAATGTGCTATTTACACCACTAGCATTAAATATGGTCAAAGATTATTATTTGCTTTTCATTTTTTTAAAATTAAAAAAAAAAAAAAAAAAAAAAAAAAAAAAAAAAAAAACCTCCCGCCACCTTCTCCGATGAGAAGGAAAAAAAAAAAAAAAAACCAAGGAAACCATCGCCTTCTCCGGTGAGAAGGCCGACACTGGAGAAGGCCGGATTTTTTTTAAAATTTTGAATTAATTAATTATTATTTAAACCTAATAAATGTGATTTAATTAAGGTGGTGCAAATAGCATTTTGACCACTCATTAGGCTATTTGCACCACCTATGTATTTATTATAAGTTTTTAACTTATAATAAATAGGTGTTGCTATTTGCACCACCTATGTATTTATTATAAGTTTTTAACTTATATTTTCAATGTACTTTTTACCCTATTTTGTTCAAAGAGGTGCAAATAGCAACACCTGTGATAAAGAGGAATCATTTTTTTTATTTTTATTTTTATTTATTTATTTTTTATTTCTGGGATACAAAAATAGGATGCTTTTGAAAAGTGTGCATAGGTGAAAAAAGAGAAATCAGGGAATGTGTTTTTCATGAAGAAAAAACGGCCGCTTAGAGTGAATGTTAGCTTCTTTTTTTTTTTTTTTTTTTTTTTTTTTTTTTTTTTTTTTTTTTCTTTAAAAGAAAAAATTAGTTAAAGATAATAAACTATGGTATTATACGGGTATGTATAGTATTGTAGCAATAATATTAATAATGGGAAAAATGTAGTAGTATACGTTTCAAAGTAATGATACTGCTAAACTCATTCCTTAACTATTTATAAAGCATAATAGTTAGTTAATTAGTAGTAATTATTAAATCTTATAAAACATTAAATAATAATTTGAAAAGTTATATGTAATTACCAATTATTGGTAATTAGTGTTTAATAATAATTGATTCAAAATGAATTCTTAATAGTTACTGTATTAAATAATGAAAAATAATTGTTTAATTATTATGAATCATAAAAGTTATGAAATTAATAATAATTACATAATGACTACCATTTTTTGTACTTACATAAGATTAGTAATTATTCTTTAATTGTAATTTAATAAGATAAAATAATTTATGATTACTTTAGTAATAATAAATTTATAGTCAAATTATTTATAAAATAATATTAATTATTACGTAAAAATTTTAAAAATAAATATAATAATAATAATAATATACTTGCATATAAAAGAGAATAATAAATTGTTCTTCTTCCAATGACTTTTCTAGTAAAATTTCGTTTAAGACAATGATATTTTTATCTCGACACTTTTTGCTTTCTGATTTTTGAGTCGATTTTCTTCATCTCGTATTTTTTCGTCCATAAGTTGGCAAAAATACTTGCCAGATGGATATGAGTGTGACCCGGTTGGATATGCACAATCTCTTAATTAAGATGAAGGACACCGGCTGAGTCTTTCAATATAGTTGCAAGTTATTATCAATAATGTTTGCTAAGCACCTTGTGCTTAGATGGCATGTAGTGGCATCTTTCATATGGGAGGTCATGAGATAAGCCTCAGAGGAGGCGTTGTTGACTCTTTGTACCTTCATTAACAGAAACTGCAATGTAATAGAGTAAGTAGCACTTGACATTCTATATAAAAGAAGAGGAAAGTAATTATCTTTTTAAATAAATTTTGTAGCTTAGCAAGATAAGCATAAGCTATTTAAAAAGTTGTTTTATAAGAAGGCCCCATATGAATATTCAGTTTTTATTAATCACAGAAATCTTATATTTTTAACCATTTAACTTTGGTGATAAGTCATAAACTCTAAAATAAACCTGGCCAAACATAACCTAATAACATTCATACAACTTGATATCCATCTGAAGCCTAAAATATTCACTGCCTTCAAACCTATCGGTGAAGAAGGTGGCAATGCCTCTAGCCATGAAGAAATCTCCAGTTCCACCCACCACAGACAGGTCCCTGGTCTTCTGGTCCATCATATCAGCTCCCATGATGTTAATGGTCCCTTTGTATTCGGTAGAGTTGAATATGAGAGTATACGCAAACCATGCATTATAAGTAGATTTCATGTCGTAGAAATAGAAGCCCTGAGCTCGAGCAATGGGCGGCGAGAGAAGGTGGTGGTCCTTAGTAATGGGATCGTCGAACACGACCATCAGCCCGAAGTGGTGGTTGCTGAGGTTGTTAGGCTCTTTGGAGACGGCGGCCGAGGTTGCGTTTAGGACGTTGGTGCCGTTGAAGAGGATGTCGTGGTAATACAGCACCAGTCGCTTGCACGGCTTGTCGGCTTTTATGGTCCTCGAGTCCGCCATGTCGGGACACGAAGCGAGGAGGAGGAAGAAGAGGATGATCGGAGTATAAAATTTCTCCATCACCACCACCACCGAGGTCGAGGTTGTATTATAAATTAGGAAGAGGGAAGATGAGTTTAGGTTTAGGTTAAGGTTTGATAATTCAATGGTGGGGATTAAATAGCAGCTTAAGTTTGGAATTGAAACTTGTGTAATAATAGAATTAATGAACATTATTGGCTAAGGAATATGCCTTTGGGTGTGTATATGTTATTACCAAGAAACTGGAGAAGGATGCCATTCTCCCGGGTTTGTTTCTATTGAAATTTTGTACTCCGTAGAAGATAAGAATAATGAGATAAAAAAATGATCTTTCATTTATCAAAACTTGGTACTAACGTTGAAGACAAGAGTGAGATAACAAATGTGAGTTCAGCATGCATGTTTATTTTAATTCCAAGTAGTAGTACGACTCGTCCCATTTGTTGGCGACACATGAATGGCAAAAACGTAAGGAGTGTTTGGTAAATAGCTGTTAGGTGTTAGCTGATTGAGTTAGTAAGTTTGACTAGTTTATAGCATTAATTGATGGTAGAAAGATGTTTGGTAAATTAATTGTTACGTTAGTTGATAGCTGATTACATACAAAATGACTTTCTCAAAAAGTTGATCGATTTTAAAATTTAATGTTTTGGAGCAATAAGTTGTTACAAAAATCTAATTAATTAAACACGTATATTGGGTCTTTAACCAATTCAAATAGTTAATAATGATCAAATAAACCAAAATTGACTGATGATAAACTAATGTAACTTGGTTACCAAACATGGCCAAACAAGACTTTCAACATAACTATTTTGACCCAAATATGGTATCAACTTATCTTTAGAATATCTACTTAATCTACAAATCTAATAAGAGTCAATAATGTTAGGCCATATGAAACTTTAATTTGAATCAGAATATATTATTGAGTAAATACTCAAAATGGTCCCTCGACTATAGCTAAATTCACAAAATGGTCCTCGACTTTCAATTTCAACCAATTAAGTCCTTAACTTTACAATTTTAACATGATTTGGTCCTCCATCTATTGGAATAAGGGCCAAATTGGCCACTGGACGTAACGCGAAAGTGCAATCAGGTCACTCAACCTAAAAAAAGTGCAATTAGCCCATCCAACAGTCCAAATTCCTCCAATTTCACCTGCTAGCCGGTGGAAAGCCATTCTTTCCGGTTTCACGCTGATGTGGCATTCTACGTGGCATTAGTAGACAATTTCATTATTTCCTTCATTTATTCTCTTTTCCACCGTGTATTAACATCACCAAAACAACCCAAATCCACCCAAATTGCTTCAGATTCCTTCTTCCCTCTTCAACTTCCTTCGCTCTTCAACTTCACTCTTCTTTCGCTTCTTGATTCCGAAAACCCTAGCCTTAGTCGTTCACTGGTTCCAAATATCGTTGTTCTTTTATTTCTCTTCTTCTTACAGACACCCTAGTCGCAGTGGTAAGTGCAATGGCTTTTTCTACTTCAAGGTCGTCTTCAACTTCTCCAAAATTACCGAATCGCAATTATACTCTCCAATACGAGCCATCTATGTACTGTAAATGCGGATTGAAATCCCCATTATGCACAGCTCGGGATAGTGGAATGAAATTTTTTGGATGTCAAAATTGGAAGGTTAGATTTTTTTACTTTTGTTATATCATTTTTTGTTTTAGTTTTCTTCAGAATTATCGTACTTTTTTCAGGGCAATGGATGTGGATTTTTCGTTTTCGTTGAGGATATTATGCAAGGAATTGGACCTATAGAGTATGAATCTACCAAAACAGATTTAATGGAGTTAAAAAGGCTTGTTAGAAGTTTAAGAGATGAAGTTGTGGTGGTCCAAACGAGATTGGGGAGTATTGAAGAAGCTACGAAGAAAATGGATGGAATTGGGCACCATAATTCTGTAAAAATGGCTAAAGTTGTAGTTGTTGGAGTTGTAATTGTTTTAGCTGCCATGGTATGGTTTAATGTAAGTTTATGAAGAAACCTCAACTTGGTTGTATTATGTAAATTAATGCTAGCTGTCATGGTATGGTTTAATGCATTGTTGTTTACTGATTTTCAACTTTCAAGTTTATTTTGTTTAATGCTAGTTTATTGATATGGTCATCTTTGAGAGATGTTGGTATTATAATTGCAAATGAGTTAAGTGGTCATTTTAGGCAAGAATGGTCATTTTTATTGAACTGTTATAAGCCATCTGCCAATGAGTTAAGTGGTCATTTTAGGACAGAATGGTCATGTTTATTGAATTGTTATAAGTCATCTGGCAATGAGTTAAATGGTCATTTTATGCAAGAATGGTCATGTTTATTGAACTGTTATAAGCCCCTGCCAAACTGCAAGAAAAAAACATAACCAAGCAAAAGCTGCCAAACAGAAATCATACACCATAACTCATAAACCAGAAAAATTAAACCATAAAGCTGCCCAACAGAAGCCATACACCATAACTCATAAACCAGAAAAATTAAACCATAAAGCTGCCAAACAGAAACCATACACCATAACTCATAAACCAGAAAAAATAAACCATAAAGCTGCCAAACAGAAACCATACACCATACACCATAAACAGTTAATTAGGCTAGAAGTTACAAAATACATATAGCAAAATATTAAGCTAGAAGTTGGCATTTGGCAGTAGCATTCACAAGTTTACACAGTTAATTAGGCTAGAAGTTACAAAATGCATATAGCAAAATATTAGGCTAGAAGTTGGCATTTGGCAGTAGCATTCACAACTTTACATAGTTAATAGCCAAAATATCATTACAAAAAGATTGTTCCACTAGAATTCTAAATGCCCTAACTTCCGGAACTACTGATTCTTCTTGGTAGATGCACTTGTATTCCCTCCAACTGATAGCACTTGTTGTCCTCTTTGTCCAAGCTACATAATGCATAAAGGTTAATACATTAGTCACGGTAATTATTAAATCTGAAATTATTTAAATATAAGAACAATGATTTACTTACATTTAATATTTGTGCTCCAGTATTTGGGTTGATGTATACACCAAAGCCACCTGATCTTTTTCTTTGTTTACTTCTCCTAGAAGTTGAGGCAGAAACTGGTGTAGAAGTTGAGGCAGAAGCACCACCTGAAACAGCAGATGGCATAGAACTCTTTGTAGGGCAAACTCTCTTTTGATGTCCCTTTTGTTTACAAATTGAACATGTCATGATTCGACCTTGCCTTGAAATTTTTCCAACAGGGGGTTCATTAGGCTCACGGGTTCTTTTTTTCTTTGGTCTACCAGTCAACCAGTCATTGGCCTTGGTAAAGGTGCTAGTATTTCTTCAGAATTAGTTCTAGGCCAGCAGAGTTCACCATTGAGTGGCTGGATAGTGTGACTGTAAATGTTGTTGTACACTTCCTTGGAGTAACATTCATCAATGTATTGCTCTGGATCTCTACCTAGATCAAATATGGCACAACAAGCATGTGCACAAGGTATACCTGTTAGGTCCCAAGATCTACAGGAACATGTTTTCCTTTGTAGCTTCACTTTGAATTGTTGCCTTCCCTTCTTGATTTCATATCCATCATCCCCGTTGAAGTCAACATGCCAACCTATACTTTCAACAATGTTCTCATTGAGCTTTTTCATTATCCTAGGTCCAAAGTTACCAGGCCATTTCTCTACCGCTTTTCTGCATCTTGCAATCCTTGTCATGGTAGCTACCCTTATATCTTCCAACATCTTCACTATTGGCTTGCTCCTTGCCTTAACTATTGTTCCATTAAATGCTTCACACATGTTGTTGTCTACTGAATCACATTTCACTTCTGTTCTCATGAAAGCCTTACACCAATACTTTGCAGGATAGTTGGCCAAATCAGCTTTAGCTTGTGCATCCTTTAATCCTAGTTGCTCAACCATTGCTTCAAACTGCTGTGTAGTGGTTGCATTTGCACACATCCAAAAGTGCTTTTTCATTACCTTTCCTCTATGTTTCTTGCTCCAATTAGCATGTATATGTCTTGCACAGTTCCTATGTTCCACATTTGGCAAAAGCTCCTGGATAACACTCACTAAACCCTACAGAAATAGAAATAGAAACACAAACAAAAACTGTAGTTATTTAAGCTTATTTAAACACAAACAGAAATAGAATCAGAAACTATACTTATTTAAGCTTTTGTTAACAAGAAACAGAATAAAAAACTGTACTTATGAAAGCAGAAGTACTTATGAAATGAGAATAAGAAACTGTACTTATTTCAGCTATTGTTAACAAGAAACAACATAAAAAACTGTACTTATGAAAGCAGAATCAGAAACTGTACTTATTGTTAACAAGAAACAGAATAAAATATAGAAGTAAATATGAAATAATGTAGAGTACCTTTTGTTGATCTGAAATTATTGTCCAATTCCAGCTATTGTTAATAGCCAAGTCCTTAATCAACAACTGTAAAAACCATCTCCAAGAGTCTGTGTTTTCTATCTCAACAACTGCCCAAGCTATTGGATACATCTGATTATTTGAATCCCTCCCAACAGCAGCTAAGAGCTCACCTTTCATCCCCCCTTTAAGAAAACTGATTGCTATAATCTGCAAGTGCACAGAGTCAATCACAGTATAAATTCCTGGAGTATTCCAGGGTCGATCCCACGAAGAACACTATTAACTGTTATATTTAATAATCAAATTGTTGATAAGGAAAATCTCAAATAAATAAAATTAATGTGATTAAAAAGAATATTTTATGAATTCAAAATAAAGGAAATTTCAATTGAGAGAAGACTAGGGATTTGGGTTCACCTATTAGATAATTAACTAACTCTCCTAAGTATTAATTCTTATGACTATAGTGATGATTGTTTCAAATATATCCTAATACTCCGTCGAGCTACTAGGTTGTGTCCAATTAACTGTGATCATCCGTCGATATCTCACCAACATTAATTAAACCCATTAAGCAACAATCAAATATCACCACAAATACCTAAAGCTATGTCTAGTTTAGGTCAATTGTGTTTATCTTACGAGTTCTAGGTTCATAATTCACCTGTCAGTTCTTCTCATGAACCCTAATATTAGAATTATGCAATGGCCAGTCA